AGAGGAACTTTTTGGAGATGGGGAGGTGGGGGTCGGGTGCTATAGAGGACCTTTGATAGTGGCTGTCTTCAAGTCCTGCAGCTATAGTGAGGAGCATGTCCTATTCCCCGCGGGGGAGGCTCTTGCAAAAGTGGGGGATCCTGGATGTTGCTGGCATGTACAACTGTGTATGTGTGATGTCGTGCAAATTTACCTGCACATTCTGAATCCGAAAATATATTGTTATTGACAATTCATATAGATGCAGGCCTTTGCATGGAGTGTGTGTCGTAGGTGGGATTAGTATCAATGTAATAATCTAACAGTATAGAATGGTGATCATGGATTACATACCTGAATATGCCGAAAAAATTTGCTTGCATCTGGACACTTCTCTGTTATGAAACAGTGTTGTGGTTAACATCTCATATGTGTCTGGCGAAGGCAGTGTTGTAGTGTAGTTGTGGATGTTGTGAAAATGTGTGTGTGTGTGTGACTGTGTGCCTGTCCTCGGTCCCTTGAAAGAATCTATACCTTGTGTTCCACACATATCATAGGAAAGCTTATAATAATTTGATATTCTCAAGTGGTGGCGCACTAGAAGGGAATAATGTACTTATTGATCATCTGTAAGGGTTGCATGTTTTGATGAGATCATCTTGTGGGAACCTAGTTTCTCTCTCGGGTCTCTCATCTTCGGTCTGCATCTCTCGTCTGTGTGTAGAAAAATGTGTGTGTGTGTAGATGTGAGTGAAAGAGAGAGAAACAGAATACGCAGAATCAACCGATCCTTCAAGGAAAACCAAACTCACTATAGTTGTTTGCTTGCACCCGCTCCCCCCCCCACCAGAGCTGTTCATCACTGGGTTTCCTCTGGGTGCCAGGGGCTCACCTGGGGTTCTATAAGGTTAAAATAGAGGCATTTATAATCCATAAAAAATATACAAGGCATCACCCCCAACAACAACCATGGCGAACTATTAAACCACTGTGCCCCGAACCCGACTGGTGCTTTGATTCATTTGGGGGCAAAGGAAGGTAGTTTTGGAAACTCGATGACTCTAAGGGGACAGCCCAGGTTCTCTGGGGGTCGAGGTTTGAGCTTTGCTGGGGATGTGTGTTGATATTCCGTAAGGGGGCCAAGCCCAGTCTTAAACAGGGGTTAGGGTAGTGCTGCTGCCATCTCAAGGTGTTGCTGAGAGCAAGGAGCTCTGTTTTCACCTTTGTGGCCTGAGGTTGCGGAAGGTGCAGGGAATCAATCCCTGATCTTGGAGGCTCTCTGCCTTGCAGGATCTCCCTACAATACTCTGCTGGCCTAGAGAGATGGCCTCCAGCCTCTGCCGAGGGTCACTGGGGCCAGACACTCCTCCCTCGCAGCCAGGCAAGTCAGCAGGGTTGTCTCTTTGCAGGCAGAGCCTTGGGTTTCCCAGGGCTGGTAGAAGTGACCAAGCCCTTTGGGGGCCACCAGTGCTAGGTCACGCCAGAGGTAGCCTGTGGCCACCAGGGGCCTGGCAAGCCCTGGGAGCTGGTACAGAGACCGAAGCCTGAGTGCCTGGTAGAGATGGTGCCTCAGGGTGCCCAGGAGTGCTGAGACCAGTGCTTCCCCAGCCTGCCCTGTCCTCCCTGACCCACAGGAAGAGGCTGGGCCAGTGTTGCCATGGTCCCCAGGCTTCTTGGAGCATCTCTTGGGGATATCTGAGGCCTCCCTCCACATCTCTGATTGAGCCCTGGTGCATAATATGGGGAGATGGGGGCTCCCTCTTTTTGAGCCTTCCTGCAGCTGGTTTTATTTCCGCTTTTTGGATTCCTGCTTATCTCCAGCTTGAGCTTGGAGAGGCCCTGTGGGAGGCAAGGAGAGAGGGAGGGGATGTGGTTAGGCAGAGAGTGAGGGACACAAAGGCCCCTGGGGTGCAGCAGCTCTGCCCGCTGAGGAGGGTGTGCAAGGACTAATGGTTGGGATGCACATGAAGGATTTGCTCGGGCCCCCCATGGCCTCCTGGGCCAGGCACCTGTGGGTTAGCAGTGCCCTGATATGGACCTACTCAATCTCTTTTATAATAATTTAATAGTAATAATAATTTTTAAATAACCATAACCATTGCACAGCTCTACTGGAGCCTATTTAGCAGTGCCTGTTGATGGATGCTTTGCTGTCCCATTTTTTATTGTTGATGCTATTTTAAAGGATGCGGTGGCGAATGTGCTTGCATGTGCTTCTTTTCGTCCAAGTGCAAATATTTATCAGATGCAGAATTGCTGTGTTGTAGGGTGTATGTCGTAATGATCAGTTTTAGAAGCAGAGTATACTATTCCCCTGGGAGCATGCTGGGCTCTTGCAGCCTCCTTTTTCGACTCCCTGTAACCTATCTGTTTGGTCCCCACCAGTGGCCCCAGTCCTTGCAGACCTGCCCCCTTGGAGTTCCTGCAGCTCTGAGGTCTGAGCACATGCTTCAGCTGTCACTGTATTTTCTGTGTCATGGTTTAAGGCTTTATCCCGAAGATGAAGTAGAGTGAGGTAGGGCAAAAAGAGGGTGTAATTGTTAGGGAACCAGGCCAGGCAGCTGGAACAAAGAGGCCCTTTAAGGGGGTAATTAGCTAGAAGGTGGTTTCCTGCTGGTGTAACAGTCTGGAGCTAGGTGGGCCTCCAGGCAGGCTGGGTGGCTGGGTTCCACAAGGTCACTTGGCGGTCCTGCCTCCTCTCGCAGCGTTGCTCCCTACCCCCCTCAGATCCTGTTCATGTCCACACTGTCAAAGTCGGGTTTGTCATTTGGGAAGGGTTAAAGAGCAAGAGCAGAGATCATGCCAGGACCTCATGCACAGAGGGTGCAGATGTGGCCACAGGCTGCCACCCACATTCCATAAGTGCTAACAACTTCATCATGTGCCCACACCTCCAGTCTAGAGATACCAGGAAATAGCATCTCTAGGTGAGCATGCATGTACCAGCGAAAGCTTTGTCACTGTGGAGGAGGGGGAAAATGCAAAGATCTGGGGAGGCAATCCCTCTGTTGCCAAGGAGAAAGTCATTCCAGACCATGCCAGGAGACTGGTGGAGCTGAGCCAGTGTGTACCCATAGTATCCCAGCACCTAGCACAGACTGAGTGCCTAGCACATGTTTGCAAGGCAGAAGAACGAGCAAGACGGATGCAGGCAGGGAGGTAGGGTTATCCTTGGAGGCTGAAAGCCGTGCTGCAGGGAGCTGGGGGAATAAGGAAGGGAGGTGGTCTTGCCCCCTGCCACTGCATTGGGCTCACAGGATTCACATCTTTCCTTCCTCTCTAGCCCAGAGCCACGTTGGGGCTGACCCACAGCTGCTGTCAGTGGGAGGCCAGTGGTGCTGGCCAAGAAGCATCATGGCTTGTGTCGTGCAGATTTCCCTGGCTGCTGTCCTCCTGCTGCCTATGGTAAGGGCCCAGGAACGTCTCTCTGGGAGCCCCAGGCTCACCTGAACCCCCACTCCAGAGAACCCATGTTTTATGTGTGCCCTCAGCTCAGCTATTCATCTGGCTAGTATTTCTGCCAATACCACCAGTGGGCCACCCAGTGCCTTTGTGTGAATCAGAAAAGACATGCCTTCCTCAAGACCCTGTACTGATTTGACTAGAAACGATTACAAAATTTACAAATCTTTATGACGGTAATGTGTGGCAACCTTTGGAGTTGCACAGTACACAACCTGCTCAGCTGAATGCAGGAACCCTGGTCAGGGCTGCAGAAGGCTCTTTCGATTTTCTCGTCACCAGCCCACAATGCCCTGCCAGGACAGAACTCAGGAGGCTGCCCCCTGCTTAGGTCTCTCCCTGAGCAAAGGTGGGGATGGGGAGTGGGCAGAGGAGGACTCCCAGGTATTGGTCCCACCACTCTACCTGAGAGTTCAGAATAGCAGTGGGTGAGGCTGTCCTCAGAACCCTGGGTACCAGTCCTGCCTCTGCCCTGACTCACTGTGTGGCCACAGACAAGCCTGTCCCTTTCCCTGAGAACTGCCTGCACATCTGTGAATACTAGGGATTGGACTGTGTCCCCAAACATGGCCCTTGGCAACTCAAATGCCTTGTGACTGCCTCCATACTTGCTGATACACCCCTGGGAACCATCCCTGCCCTGGGGTCTTGTGTTAAAGCGACAGCATTTGGAAGCAGCTGTCATAATAGCAGTGCATAGACTGTGAGGTTACTTGGTCCTGAACTTGAAGCCCATATCTGCTATTAACCAGCGGTGCAACTTTGGGCTGGAGTTTCTTAACCTTTCTGAGCCCCAGTTTCTCCTTCTGTAAATAAGGATGGTGAGTAGTCCCCACTAAATGGCACCACGGCTCCTTAGCCTGCAGCTGCTGGGGGCACCTTCTTCCTGAGTCCCTGGAGGAAAGAGACAATGAGCTTTCTCAGCCTGACTTCTCCCCTACCACTTGTTTTCTCCTTTAAACTGCAGTCGTAGCCTCATGGCTGCTGGAGTCAGACCTCCTGGGTTCGAATCCTGGCTTTTCAGTCTACTGAGCCACATGACTTTGAGCAAGTGACTTAACATCTCTGTACTTAAGTTTCCACATCTGTAAAATGGAAAATGATAAAAATAGTACTGCATAGTACTCTCCATATCCATACACACGCACACATATGACACTCAGAATAATGCATGCACAGAGTGAAGTGCTATATGCACTTGCTAATATTGTTATAAGATGTGGAAACTGAGAGCCCAGGAGGGAGTGGGACCTGTCCAAAGCCACACATTGAGTTGGTGACTGAGAAGAGCCCTCACGGTATCTCTCAAGGTGAATGTCAGGGCCCCTGCTGGCCCTGACATCTCTTGTCACTCTCCTCTCTGCTTCTACTCCCCACTCCCTCCAGGACACTGCCCCTGGGGCTTTGGTAGGAGAGCTACTACAGATGGCCTTCCTACCTGCTCCCACCGTACATCCTGTGTTCTCCTACAGGCCCCCGCCATGCATTCTGACTGCATCTTCAAGAAGGAGCAAGCCATGTGCCTGGAGAAGATCCAGAGGGCCAATGAGCTGATGGACTTCAATGATTCCTCTCCAGGTGAGCGGGGCAGCAGGGAGCCTGTCACATCCCCAAGGCCAGCTTTTAGAACTGTTTCCCTGTTCTCAGGCTCACTTAGCAGAGAGTGGTCAAGGGTATGGGTTTCTGGGGCCTTCAGAAAGCCCTTCGGAATACTGATGTCCTGGATCTGCTCTGGGCAATGATGCTGGGGCTGCTGTCCTCAAGGCTAGTGTGGCCTGGATGCCTCACAGCTGTTCTGGGTGACTGGACTTGGCCGCCTTCTCTCCCACAGGGGCTAGGATAGCGTTGGTGCCTGGGCTGGGCAGTGGCTGTCAAGAGCTTGTTAGCAGGCTGAATGGGCTTGGTGGCAGCAGGGACACAGCTGTTGCCTGTGGCTGAGCTGTAGAGCACTTGGTCAACCCAGGGCAGGAAATGTGGGGTCCTTTCCGATCTCCTCTGCTCATTGCATCAGAAGTCAGAGAAGAAAGCAGCAGCAGGAACTGCAGTCTTGAAGACTTGGATACAATGCTTCTCCTGGGACTGCATTTGAGGAGGGTCCTGCTTCCCTGCGCTGGAGGAAGCACACGTTTTGCAGGACATTGAGCGTTCTTAGCCTCTCCCTCTAAATGCCCATAATACCCCGATCCCAATGACAGCCACAAAATGCCTCCCAAGATATCAAATGTCCCAAGGGAGTGACACGATCCCTGGTGAGAACCAGTGGCCCCACTGAACCCCTCTCCTCCTAACTCCCCATTGTGCAGATGGGAAGCTAAGGCTCACAGAGCAAAGGTGCCTTCGGCTCTTGGCCTCAGGGGAAGTTGGGGATTTGGGGGAGTGGGTATCACAGAGGCCTCTCCAGCCTCACTTTCGCCTCAATCGTTGGAGGACTGGCTCCATGCTGCCTAAGGGTAGGACTCTCTGCTCAGGCTGGAGGGATTCATTTTTCCTTCTGGATCCTCCTGGCTCCTCTGAGCACCATCTGTTTAAGCACTCGATTAATCCGCAGCCCAGTTAAATGGAATGGTCCCACTGGACGGAGCTCCCCGGCCAGTTGCTTCTCGGTGAACATTAACTGGTGAGGGAGCTACTCTGGGCTCTGCTGGCCTTTGCCTCCAGCTGAGCTCTTGCTCAGCCCTAACCAAGGCTGAATGGGGATTTGGAGCCCCACCAGTGAGGGAAACTGAGGCAGTGGGCCCAGAAGGGCACACAGTTGGAGGAGACTCAAAGAATACCCCAAGAATATCTGGTCCAAGTCTCTGTTTGGAGGGTGGGACTGCCGAGCCCTGAGGGCAGGGATGGTGTGGATCACATGGAGGATCAGGCTGAGGTGGGTCTGGAACCCAGGTGTCCTGCTCCCAACCCAGGGCCATTGCTCCTGCATCACGTGTCTTGGATACATTTGGGATTGAGCAATAAAAGCATCCAGGAGGGAAGAATAAGAGGCAGGGGCTGAGGTGGGACAGGGACCTCAGTGTAAGCTGTGTGCAGTTTAATTGCACACCTGCTTGTTGAACTCTGGGCTGAGAGGGCAAGACAGGCCTGTCCACAGGGATGTTGTGGCAGAGACAAGGGAGATGGATGCCAGGCTGGACATACAGCATCCCTGGAGGGGCCAGGCCAGTGCTGGGGAGCAGGTCTCACCTGCAGGTCTGCTCAGGAGAGGAAGAGATAAGTTCTCTGTGGGAAGGATTCATATATTGAAACTGGATCCTTGCTTCTCAAACCTGGCTGCACATCAGAATCACTGGGGAACTTTCAGAAAAATGTACTCCAGCCACAATCCAAACCAATTAAATCAGAAGCCTGAGTCCGTCATAGTCACCATAGGTTTTAAAAGCTCCCCAGGTGATTCTAATGAGAAGCTGGTGTTGAGAACCCTTGAGCTAGGCCCAAGGGACAGGTAGGCATTTGAAGGCGGTGGACAATTGAGGGATAGACGAATGGGTGAACATAGTAGGCTGAGGAGTCCACAAGAGGCAGGAGCCTGGTGTTTTTGGCAGTAGTGAGTAACCTCCTGTATTTGGAACTCAGAATTGGAGCAGATGGGTTGGGCTGTTGAGGGGGCATGGCTGAGGGCCCAGGGAGCAGATATTGTGTATTTCATGTCCGTCTCCACTGGAGTTGAAGGTGGGGGAAAGCAGTGATCGGCTCCCACTGAGCTGGTGTCTCTGCCACTGCCCCAGGGGCTCCACTTGTCCGCCTTCAGGGACCTTGTGAATCAGGGCTGGTCATAGGAGGTCAGGGTGTGAAGGATTCTCCAAGAGGTGAGTGAATAGCTCTCCTTTAACCCTGTCCAGATGGGAGAGGAGGCTGCACCCTCTCACGGTCTGCCTAAAGGAGAGGGGCCCTCATCTCTCCCTACTCGTCCCCTTCCTTGAATCATGGGGTGGGGCTGAGCTAATTAAGCAGAAGCAAAGGGCAGCCATTAGGTGGGGAAGAGGAAAAGACTAAAGGCCCAGCTGGACCACCAACTCCATGGCCCTTTCCTGCTCTGGGCCTCAGGATCTTCTCTTTTAAAATGAGTGGGGTGGAGTGGATCATGTTAATAGCCAGGCCCTCTATAGACTTCCTGTGTGCCAGGCTCTGTGCCAGCACTTCATTCTACCTGACCGCAGAGGCTGGGATGGGGTGCGCTTCTATTATACCCTATTTTATAGATAAGGGAATGAGGCCAAAAAGTAACTTGCTAAGGACATAGTGCCATTAAGAGGTCAGAGTGAACTTGCCCCAGGCAGCGTACCCTCAACTTCTGGGATGATACCACCTCTGAAGAGTGACACCACTCTGGTCCCGCAGCACCCCCCGCCCGCAGCCCAGCACCAGCTCTGGCGATCTTTGAAGGGCCTTAATACTTATTTGCATTCTGAAAATGGCGAGGAAAAATAATCACCACACACTCTGGATTATTGCCATTAAGTGAAAAAGCCTGTTGAGAAGTGCTAAGGACAGCATACTCGCACTTGGCTAACGCCTTAACTAAGTACACTGTAAGTTATTAGCGACTGTCATCTGGAGTGGTTGGGGTCCTCCAGGGCTGCCACCCTTCTGCTAGATCCGCCAGTTCTTCTCTGGGAGTAGAGATGACATCTCTAGGAGCCATGGTCAGTGCCACTTGGACATCCTGGAGGCTCTCTGGAAGAGTCAAGGGGAGAGGTTAGGGACCAGATCTTGGGCTTCCAGAGGGCAGACGGAGAGTACGCGGAAGGTGGAGAGTTCAGCTGGAGAAGGGTGGCAAGGGAGCAGTGAGTAAGGGGGTGAGCACTGTACACAGCCAGCATCTCAAGGCGGCTGCATGGTTCTCTGCTCTCTACTCTATCCTCTCCCAGACATGCACGCATTGGTGTGCGTGCACGCTCAGTAACTCATTTAACCACAACCTAGGCTCGCGTAGAGTTTCCCCCATTATAATCACATGGGAGCTTAACATCAGAGAAGGTTAGGTTGCTTGTCTCTTACCTAGTAAACCCCTCAGCTGGGAAGGTGGAGCCAAGGTGTGCATGAGGATGGTTCTGGAGTTCATGCCTTTGCCCCTGGGCTGCATTTGCTGCTCAGAAGAGGAGTGAGGAGACACCCTGGCCCTCAGCTTTCCCCTTGCCAGGGTGAAAGGTCATACAGCAGAGGCAGTTGCAGTGAGGCTGGAAAGAGGCCTTGGGAGAGAGGGGCCCTGAAATGTGCTTGAGGTCTGCCCTTTCCTTAGCTATGAAAAGGCCAACAGGTGTTTGTGTTTCTGAGACCCAGGATAGAATGAGGTCTCGGCCTCTAATGACTTGCTTGGGAAGGAGAGGGGCAGCCCAGGGTGAGGAGAGGCCCCTGGGGAAGCTGTCCTGAGAAGCAGCGTCCATCCCGCTCACTTTGGGGTTGTGGTCTGGAGAGCTTGCCCTGCAGGCTGAGGTTGGAGGACTCCCCTCAAGGGGACCTCAAGTTCAGGGAGAGCGTTGACCTTGCTGTCACTCACCAGGGAAGGCCTTACTTTTACCCATTGCACCTTAAGAACCTCTGGCCTGCTCTTAGGGGTGCCCTGGCTGGAGCTGGGCTTCTTGGCTCCAAATTAAACACACGTGTGAAAGATGGGCCTCCACTCCTGTCATCACACCTGCAGCACTGTAGAGCCCCCAGGAGCATTTAAAGATGCTGATGTCCAGGCCCCTCTCCAGACCAAAGTCCTCAGCATTTGGGTCAGGAACACTCCATGCAGATCTGTGTTAAAAGCCTCCAGGTGATTCTAAAGTGTATCCAGGTCTGAGAACCACTGACCAGAGCGCAGCATCCACCAGGGTACTCAAGTGATCTCAGGCAGAGAGTAGCCCCTCAGGGCCCAGATAAGCCAGGCTGGGGAGCTCACTACTAGCCGAGTCAAACCTGAGTGTACCAAAGAATCGACATCTATGTGTTGTGTTATTAATCCATGCCGGCCCTCCTGCTGCATCTCTTTCCTGCACCTTCCCTGCCCGGGTGGTCCCCAAGCACACACACCATGCACAGAATGCTGGCCAAAGGTCAGCTGATGTCCTTGAAACACACTTGAAAAAAGAAACCTGCCAGCTTGTTCCAATGCCTGTGAGTGTAAACTCACAACAGTGTCTTTTATAGACTTTTAACATACTTTTATATATTTTGTGTGTCTCCCACAATCTTTTAAATCTAGTAATATGAGTCCATTGGAACAAGGGCCCTGATCTTAGTTGAATTATGTCCGTGGCACTGTGTGTGCGTGGCTGGGGGACTCCAGGGGGCTCCAGGAAGGCACTTGTTTCCTTCAAGCCCCTGCTCCTCACTGGTCCTGGGACCTCCACCCCAAGGAGAACCTAGGATGGTGCTGTGCAGAGTGGCCTTCAGAATGGTAGCCAGGAGACAGAGATGCACTGAGAGGAGGCACCCATGGTAGCAGGCCGCTTAATGGGAGTGAAAAATAGAGCCCAGAGAGATGGCCATAGGGAGTGAAAGCAAGCTTGCAGCCTGCCTTGCATTATTTGCAAAATCCTTGTCATGTTTTAAAGGTGTTTATTGAGGAGAGTAGGAGCTTTGGAGACATAGTT